AAATTATCGGAATTTAATCGGACTTTTTCTCATTTTATAGGTTTATTTAATACCTACCTTTTTTGTATAAACTTTTTTTCGCTGTGAATAATATTTTTTTACGCGAGTCAAAAAACCACTTTTCCATAACTTTGACCATTGTTTAAACAAAGTTTTCCAACTAGCCTCGAGTAGATTTTTTGATATTTTGTTTATAACACGTTTCCGAACAATATTCGGCAGAGAAACTTCTAATAGTATTTTTTTCTCGAAACAGGTTGTTTCATGGACTAAATGGCAATAATGCCATTCTGATTAAATTTCAACGATAAGAAAAAGATCTATAGTTTTCAACCTGAAAAAAGAATTTAAAGTTTCGGTAGATTTTTCACATATTTCCAATTATTTTGCAATAAGCGCTCAATTTCCACAGGAAAGTACATCTCTTAGAGAAAATTTTTAGCCCAAGACGGGTCATGTAAGTACATGACTGTATGATTTATTGAAACTTGAAAAAAATGTCTATTTGAAAAATAGAATTTTTGCAAAAACATTTATTTTTGCAAAAATGCACTTATTCTATTTGCCAAGGACTACATATTCTGAAAGATTCTTAAAAAAAATTTGCATTGTCAAATTATTACGGAAATCTCAAACTGCAAAATATTCATTATTTTATTTTATTTAGTGTTTTCTATATTCATTTCAGTTTTTCTCCGAATTTTCAAATTCAGAGCTCTATTTACAAGTCTTATTCTCTACATTCATTATTCTTTCTAACACTTCTGAAAGTCTAGTTGTTATCACTAAACGTGGAAATAATTAATTTTTTAACCGTTTAACGTTGCATTTCTACTTTTAAAATATACCATATCGTTCTTGGATGTTACATTCTAAGGATGTCAATAATTTTAGGGAGGGACTCATAAAATCCTGTTGGAACAGAGACAGCAAGCTGCGCCCCGCAGCCTCAGAGATAGTAGAATTCCTAGCCAATAACCCGAGACTGCTGGCGCCCTGCCTGGACGTCCCACTTTCATCAGTCCAGCTGGAAGGCAGCGACCAAGCCGAGCTGGGCGTCCCGACAGAATTCCGAAAATATTCCACCTCCAGCAAGTCTTCTCCGACTAAGCCCACCTGTATGATACCTCTGGAGCAAGTCGCTCCTATATATCGTCCGTTCGAGGACAAAAGCGACGGTGAAAGTATACCGATGGAACAGGCCTGCCCCAAGGAGCCCCTGCTCGGCACGGCCAAGTCCAGTTCGAGTTTGTTAAATCTCGGCAAGCTCGTCCGTCAACAGAAAAAGGACTCTGACGAGGACGACGACTACGTTCCCAGTTCGGCCGAAAGACAGGACGGTTCGAAGGTTTAACATATCGCTTAAGTAATATTAACGTTTTCCGTCTGTTATCGAATGAAATTATGAAAGATCGTCTCGTCAAATCGTTTACGCGACCGTTTTTCGCCTTCGCAACGTTCTGGTATTAGTTTAATTCACCGCCATGTACAGTTATTTTTTTATATACATTTCTCATCCTTTCCATAATTTTTGTCTAGTCAACGGAGACCGACGTATCGTACCGTTCAACCACGCTCGGAAACATAGTATTAATTTAGGAATGAACACGGCGCATCACTTTCGATGCATCGCGGACGTGGTACATGCCGACTGAAGTCGCTCATAGTATTCTGTAAATATATTCAATCAACTCGCTACCTCATGCCTAGTTCTTTGTTACGAAATCCTAGTTTCCGCTTCGTCGCGTGTACCACACTTAATCTCGAGCGAGAACCATGACTGTTAAGTTCCTTTTAAACTTTTAGATGTAATTATTATTGTAGGATTAAGGACTTTTATTTGATATGTAACTGTTTTGTACTGATGTAGGTGATTTTTAACGTTACTTTTTGTCGTACCAAAAGTTTGACGATTTTCGTCACAAGCGGGCGCGAATGTTCTTGTTTAGTTGGAGCGATACCAGACCTACATTTTTTTAGAAAACTTAACATTATTACATTCATTTTTATATCAGAGTATCAGAAGTGGGATATATTTTTTTATTTAAATTAAATTTAACGATATTTTAAAAAACTGTAAAAACTTTTATAAATATAATGTGAGCAACAAAGATAGAAGCATAAACTTACAAATTTACTATTAAATATGTTATTTACGTCCGTCTTTAAGAATTCGCACCGGAGTATAAAAAAAAGTGACGTTTATGCTTCTACACTAAAGACTCTAAAAGAAGCTATATTTTTTATATATCCGAAAAAAAAATAGATGTAAAGCAGTGCACTTCTTTAATGTAGTGGCGTATATAAAATTTTGCCGCATTTTAAACGAATGAACTGTTATGTTACCGTTACTTTTACGTGAAAGAATTCGATTCCTTTGCGTACGCTACTGCCTCAATGTAACTGCCCGCTGCTAGCGTCTCCCGTTTTACTGCATTTTTGAACATTCTTATTGTCTCGTGTCCAAATTACCGATAAAATTGTCTCGGAGACCCTTCCTTATCGGATGAGTGTATCGTTGTGCGTGATTTTTTTGATTGAATGACGTCTGGCGTGTGTTTAAAATTGCATTTTGTACCTGACTACTCAACTAGCTTCTAAGTTATATTTATACTATGTATTTCGTCCAAATATTTTTTCAGACTAAAGGTATATATTAAGATAAAATACGTTCTTTTTATTTCCTCATCACTTCCTTTTGATAATATTAGAATAATAAATAATACAATCTGAAAAATTTTAGCTCATTTAGGTTGTCCCAGTTATTTTCTAAACTTTATACAGGGTGTAAGATGTTTGACTGCGGACTTGTCCTGCGGAAAAAATGTAAACAACTATTATTGTGAAACATTTAGTAAATTTCAAGACAGCTGTTTTACAGTTTTTAAATAAAATAAAATGTATCGATTTTGTAGTACGAAAATTATGTTGTACTTAAATTTCGGCTTAAATTTTAGTAATTATGAGTCTCTTAAGAGAACACAGAAATTACACAGAATAAAATGTAAATTTGGTTTATTCTGCAAAATAACTTTTGACATGTTTATTTTGAAGAAAAAAACGGTTTTTCATATATCAAGGCTGAAATTCTCAGGAAAGGAATTTTCAGTTGGTTTCTGAGGGAAATTATTATTTGAACATAACTTTGCAGAACATTGGAAAATAAATTAAAAAAATACAAATCGTACACCATATATGAACAAATCATGCAACTATATAATTACTATTCAGGAGACTAAAAAATTATATGCAAGTATAAAATTTACGGATCGTCTATTTATCACAACAAATTCAGTCTTGTGTAGGGAAACTGCGGCAACCACAGGCATAAAAATATCCAAAATTGATAAAAAGTTATGTTAAGGATGGATAAGTCTTCAAGTTCTGATTAACTGGAATCAGACGAATCATAACACAACCGGATTCAAATTGGTAAGACCTTCACAGAACATATGTGACAACACAGTAATAGTACTAAATTTAATAGTTACGAAAACATGTAAGTAAAGACGCACAACAATGTTCACAGTTCAAACATGGTTTCAGTCTCATACTGGCTATGTTTAAAATATATCACTATGTGCTTTTCTAGATTTTCTGGAGTGAAGTTTTGACGTTTATCACTTAACAGCAACTTGTGTAAAGAAAATAATCGTTCCACAACCACCGTTGACAAAGGACAGTATAAAAAGTTGTTCAAGCACGAACTGTACTTTAATATATTTGGTGGTAGCTCCTGATGTGTACCAGTTAGGGCTTTCCAAATGTTTTCCAAAATGTTGTAACCAGGATTTCTTTTCAACAAGCTTTGCATTTCTTTTTTTATCGTGATACTGTCTGGAAGTGTGTTGCTGTAAGGGTATATATGATTTTTTACATTGTCCAGTAACCGAAATTGTTCATCTAGCGATAGTTTATGAGATTCCAATTGCTTTATTGCGCTAACTAAGAAACCATAGTGTTCGTTGATATAGTGGATATGATCACGAATGTTTAGATCCTTCAGTAAAAAATTCTGTAAATTGTATATAGCTTTGCTATCATCAGAATTAAAGCGATAAACAACCTCTTTTATGCCCTCAAAATGTTTATCATAGTACGCTACGGCTTCTAACCACGTACCCCATCTACTTGCAACTGGTTCAGGCGGTAAAGGTGTGTTTGGTAAAATTTCTTTAAAAACGTCACTCCTTGTAGGGGCTTTAGTAAAAATTTTTTTCACCGTTGAAATGAAAGTGTTTACTAAAGGGAAACGATCACGTATTCTCTCCGCCACCCTATTGAGAGTTTGAACTGCACATGTGAAGTGTACCAACTTCGTATACTTTCGAGATAGAATTACTCCTACTTGTAACATATAGGGGGTTGCATCACTTAGCATTACAAGGACTTTATCTGAAGCATCTCGATCGGGCCATATCAAATTAAAACAGTCACCGACAAAAGTCACAATTGTTTCATGATTAGTTTTCCGCAGCACCTTAGACGCCAGTAGATGGCTATCACTGCCACTGTCACTTTTTAAAGCGCCAATTAAAAAATTTGTTATTGAACGCCCACAAACATCCGTAATTTCTTCTATAATAAAGTAAGCAAAATTGTCCGCAATGTCTTCACGTATTGATTTCACTACATTATTGTAAACCTGGTCTACGTATCTTTGTCTTAATGTGCTTTCGTGGGGGATTTTTCGATTCATATATTTTTCCAAAAACGCACGTAATGTGGGGTTTTCCAATTTATTTAGTGGAATGTTACTTCCAAGAAACGCTTCTGTAAGTTTATAGGGAAATATGGAGTCTTCGACGCTGGAAGAAGCATGGCTATTCAAATGTTTTGTCACTTTAGTTTTATCAGAAGAATTTATAATTCGTTGACACACATTACAGAACAGGTCATTTACTTGAACACTTATGTCCTTAAAACGTTCGGGATCACTATCATACCACATTTGAAATAAATCTCGTTTACTTTTTCTCTCTTTTGGCANTGTGTGTAAATTTCAGACCTTAATATTAATAAATGAGGTCGTAGCGACTTTTTGAAAAAAAAATTTTTTTCTCAGCAATTGTTTTTTGTTTAATTCATGAAAAAAATGTCAGCTTTCAAATTAGGCCAGTCATTATAGCTTTTTTCGGGAAAAAATACTATTAGAAGTTTTTTTGCGGAATATTGTTCAGAAACGTGTTATAAATAAAATATCAAAAAATCTACTCGAGGCTAGTTGGGAAACTTTGTTAAAACAATGGTCAAAGTTATGGAAAAGTGTTTTTTTTGACTCGCGTAAAAAAACTGTTATTCATAGAGAAAAAAGGTTTATACAAAAAAGTTAGGTATTAGATAAATCTGTAAAATAAGACAAGTCCGATTAAATTCNCTCTCTTTTGGCATTTTAATTCTCTTGTGCCCTCAACTAATTAATGCAGGGTATGTATGTATCTATCATAATATATCAACATACCAAAACTTAAAAAAAATATATTAAAATTCGTAGGTTACATTATTGTTCTATATACCCATACATAACCTGTAAACTCTAACTAAATTAATTATAAAAACAATGGAATGGAGCATTTTCGACATACGTCAAGAACAAACATAAGAACTATTGCCACATGTCGTCGCTAAACCGCAAGTATTTTTTACTATTTCTACGTCTATTAATCAGAATACATATACTTAACACCATTGTATAAGTAAATATACAAGATAACACTTAAAATCAGAGATTTTAAAATATAATGGATTAATGGAAACATTGGAAACTGCAGTAATGCAGTAGCTGCAATTTTGCTGCAGAATTTATTTATCGTACAGCGCCATCCAACAGATATGTACCTAACTTTTTATACAATTTATGTTACTTCATTAGTTAGCTCAGTGTCATCTAGTGTACATGGAAGACAATATATTTCGGCGCTAAAATTAATTTTAAGTAATATTTACTTATTTATCCATGAAATTAGAAAAACCGTAAAATTATACAAAACTAGCAATGAAAAATGCAGCACTAAAATAAACGAGAAATTTTAAATTACCATAACTAATTTAATTCCATATGTTACATAAGTTTAAGGCCCGGTTTTTCAATCATGGGTTAACTTAACAGACTTCGTGAGATAGTAAAGTATATAATTACAGAATTTCAAATGTCCCACCATTAGCTTCGAATATTTACAGTTTTCCTAATCTGAAAGAGAGGAAATTCTTAAATGAATTGAAAAAATTAAACAAAAATTAATAATACAGAACTTTACACATAAAATTACACATTGTAAAATAGTTTGCTACTGAACAAAATAATACATTAAGTTTCAGGCTCATATTTGTTGTAAAATCTGAACACATAAATTTCTATTCAGTATTTACAAATGTGAATAGAAAACGGGCGTTATGATTCTTTTCTTTTGATAAAATTGTTGATGAACCTCATTTGTAACAGATAACACCTAAAAAAAGTAGATAATGTATAATATTCAAGAATACCAATTTATTCATCAATTTTGTACAAAAATATAATTGTCATTTGTATATTGCAAGATTTCACTACATATTTAAAAATTTGTAGTAACAAAAATTAAAGAAAATAAATAATAAACAAATATATATAGTTTAAAATACATATAACAAAATAAATTAAACGTTAATAGAATATTAAAACAATTAAATGCCATATCGTTTACAAATAATTTAAAAGCTGTAACTGTATTGGAAAAAATACATTGTTGATGCAGTAAAATGTGTGATATGTTGTATTGTAACCCTTTAGAACCAAAGATTTAAATATCGAATGAAATTTTATTTATATTTATTTTTAAATTTACGCCTATTTTTTGTCATATAGTTGTTTCCTATGATATACAGACTCAGCCAATTTTTGGAAGCTTTCTTGTATTTCCCAAGCAGAGATGAAAAGTGATTGAAATGTCTCAAACTCCATTTTAAAGAAAAATTAAAAAAAGGAAAACAGCAAATGACATTCAAATATCTTGATTCGTTCAAGAGATACGGGATTGTTTTAGCCGTTTTTTGTAGAATATTCTTTTTATTTGTGAAAATGTTCAATTTTTGTAGAGGTTTTGCTATTTTTCTTTAAATTTTTGAGTTATGACCTATATTTGTATATTTTTAAATAGAACACACTAAATATTTTTCAACAAGTCAAGATATTGAGATGAGGTTTTTATAAATAAATCAATTACATTTTTCTTGAAATTCAAGCCAAAGACATATTAACGACATTTAGACTACTTTCTTGGAAAATATAGGAAACTCCTAAATATTGAAACCATTCGACATTGTACTAAATCGTATCTTTTCAGTAAGCTTGCAAGGCTGGTCGAAGAAACCAACTTCTATGGGGCAGAATAAAGTTCCGTGGCGGACCCTCTAGATCTTCCGTAATCAACATAATGCAGTAACAACAAAGTTTACAGTTCAAACAAGGTTTCAGTCTCATACTGGCTATGTTTAAAATATATCACTATGTGCTTTTCCAGATTCTCTGGAGTGAAGTTTTGACGTCTACCACTTAACATCAACTTGTGTAAAGAAAATAATCGTTCGACATCCACCGTTGACAAAGGACAGTATAAAAAGTTGTTCAGGCACGAACTGTATTTTAATGTATTTGGTGGTAGCTCCTCATATGTACCAGTTAG